AACCGCACCTCATGCTCTCAACTCCGTCCTGGAACATCCACAAAGTTTTTCCCAAAGACACTTGGGACTTTTCTGGCCCACATTGATTTCCATCTTTGTATCTTTGTATCGCCCTAAGCATGCCTTGGGAACCCATGCTTTTACATGAATTTTCTGTTTGCATTGAAATAAACAAGACATGGAAAAAGAATATCCTAATATTGTTTCTTTCTCAGTTATTTTAGATATTTTCTGTGTCCTATAGTCTTTAAATTATGAGTTATTAATCCCACACTGCACATGATAAACTATACTGTGCCTTTGCTAACACAGGCAACTTGACTACAGAGGCCATCTCTAAAGGGGATTCTGAGTCATGCCATGCTCCACTCTTACTTAAATTGAGAAGACGAAAGGGTTGACAGGTAGTAAATTTGGAGAGCAAGCAGACCCCATTCAATGAATTCAAAACATTGTCAGGTCTACAAAAAGGGTCAATCCAGGTTTCAAAGGGAACCAGTTTGTCAAGCAAGACTTTGACTTATCCTCATATTGATGGACAAGAAGTACAAAAAAGGTCACAGCAGCCTGAGAATTCTCTCAAGTCCATGTGACACCGGAGGATCAGCTGCACAACTGGCCTTGACGGGAGAGAAAAAAATACTTTTGCTCACCTGCATAGTCTTCAGCATTCAACAGGAAAGTTTAACCAAAAACTAAAAGACTTGGTAACAACTCAAGGGATCACACTCAGCAGATATTAAGTCTAAGTCTACAGGAGATAGTACTTAGACAAACATATCTCACTAATTTATTTTTTTTTGATAAAAATATGTTCCTCAGATATACGACATTAGACTTTGGCTCACTGAAGCACAGCGAAGGGAGACCAGCCAGCATTGTTTTAATATAAACATGAAATGATAGTAAATATCTTTTCTCTTCCTATTTAGAAGCCATATGAGAAGGGCACCATGCTGACTTTAGCTCATGCAACAGCTGTTACAGGAATGAGAGCTGACGGCAGGTTCACTGCTCTGGAGAATAACCTTAGCGACACAAGAAAACCAGGAGTCTATGGAAGGGCTCCTGTGACCGGATCAGGACAGCCTAATGTACTCTGGGCATTTTAATCCCTTCAAAACACCAGTCAAGGACCTACTTTCCTATCTACATCTGACAGATGGGTCTTATAAAGAGGACCTCTGGTGTAGTGCCCAAATGCTGCCACCTGACACCCCAAATAGCTGGAAGAAGCCAGATCAGTTGTTGCTCCAATCCCGGTATGAGAGAGGGAGAGAGACAAAAGAGGTAGAAACTGGCTAGGTCTCGTAGGGTAAAAAGTCCTCAAACAAAAGAATCAGTTGTGTTCTTGACAAAAACCCAGAGGTGTCACTGAAACTCTTAGCAGTTTCATCCTTACCAGAGGTCAACAAAGCCAACAGCGTTTGGGAGTTCTGGATTTCTGAGCTAAGTGATTCTAGGGGCTTTATGAAGGAGTAAAATTAGAAGTAGTGGTGAAGGCCTGCTAACAGATAAAGCCCCACGATACAGAGAACAGAAACTCTGCCTGCATAGAGGTCTAAAATCAAATGAAGACAAGCCGATGCCCCCACCTAGAAACCACGCCTAAAAGGCAGGAGACTCACCTTAAGCCACACCAATAAAATAGATGCAGTAATTAATTCTAAATTAATACCAAACAGGGATAGTGGACTGGTGAGATGGCTCAGCTTTTAACTGCTAGGCTCACAACCAAAAATTAAATTGGATACTCCCTTCCTATTGCAATTTCTTATTCAAATATAGGACAGTGCAAACAACTGAGAGTTTGAAGAAAAAGGTGTTTTTAAAAAACATAGGTCAGGGGACTGGAGAGACTGACGGCAGTTGAGAACTGGCTGCTCTTCCCGAGGACTCAGGTTCAATTCCCAGCACCCACAAGGCAGCTAGCTCATAGTTGTTTGTAACTCTAATTCCAGGGGTCTGACGCCAATGCATATAAAACAAATTTAAATAAATTAAAAACGATAGGTCAAATTCAAATAGGATCACCAAAACAAAAGAAGGCTATGACTTTGAAGGCAAGGAGGGCTTTATGGCGGGCTGGGAGCAAGGAAAGGGAAAGGCCAGATGATGGAAGTATTACTTCACAAATTACTTTAAAGCTTCTAAACCAGCTCATGGCCCCATGTGCTGAAGGGACTGACAATCTATGTTGGAACACACCAAAGATACCTTAAGTGATAAATGTCCTGATAAACGTTTATTGGGGTCCACAGACCAGGGCAATCAAGAATTTGGATAGAGAAGTGAATTTCCTTCTAGAAACCAAATTACCATAGTTACACTAGTTCAACCAGAGCAGAAGAACTGGACAAATTTATGTGGTCCTGCCTAACTGGCCTGTGATTTTTCTGGCTTAACAATCACCTAAAATTGATGACAGAACTACTCACAGTTAACTCACAGTTAATTCACACTGCAGACAAAACCAGAATCCTTTCAACCTCCTTCCTGTCACCTCCATTTTTCTGCTGTGACTATACCAGCCTGCAGGTTGGCAATGGACTCAGATTCTTACAGGTTCCTGTGCATTAGCAAATCCCTAATAAAAGTCTGGGTGCTATGAAGACACTCATTCCCTTGTCTTTTTCCTTCTCACTGACCTGCACACCCGTATTCCCAGTACTGGGTGGCAGAGGCAGGTTTAGATATTCAAGGCAGGTCTCAATGGCATAGTATTAGGAAAGCCTGGGCTACATGGCACCTTGTTCTTAAAATGAATGAATAACCAATTGAGAAACATCACAAGTTCTTATTTCGTAGCCCTGGCTGTGATACAACTCGCTCTGTAGACCAGGCTGGCCTCAAACTCAGAGATCCGCCTGCCTCTGCCTCCCGAGTGCTGGCATTAAAGGCCTGCAGTGCCACCAGCAGGAATAAACTCTCGATAACTGGCAGTCACTGGAGAACAGAAGTGATACTGTGGTGGTTTGAATGAGAATGGCCTCCACAGGCCTTTATGACTGAATACTCAGTCACCAGAGAGTGGCACTGTTTGACAGGGATTAGGAGGCGTGGCCAATCCCTCCTAATAGGTGTGGGCTTGGAGGAAGTGTCTCATTGCAGGTGGGCTTTGAGTTTCAAGGGCCCAAGCATGGCCCAGTGGCCTTCTTGCTGCCTGTGGATCCAATGTAGAACCCTCAAGTACTTTCTCCAGGACCATGTCTGCCTGCCTGCCACCATATTCCTCACTATGATGACAATAAACTAAACCTTTGGAACTATAAGCCAGGCCCAATTAAATGTTTTCCTTTATAACACTTGCCATGGCCAAGGTTTCTCTTCACAGCAACAGAACACTAACACAGGCACCAACAACCGGTGTGTAAAAGTCTTAAAAATAAGCAGAAAGAACACTTACCTATACTGATTGCACTAGAGCATGTCCTTTCCTGGTAGAGGGAATGTCATTACTGCGTGTATGGCCTTCTCTGTGTAAAATGTTAGCTGCTGAGTGCTGTATGCGGACACATAAGGCACAGCCAAATGCCTGTGTCTCAGTCCTCTCGGCATGTCTGCATGTACCAACATGAGAGAGTCGCCCAGTTGGAAACTTCAGAGGCTCGAGGTAAGCTCCCCAATTTGTAAACCCATCAATTTGGTTTGCACTCATTCATATGGTGCGAATGAACACACGCTGGAAAAGTGCACAGACGTTCACTCGCCATGCCCCATCAGGTTCCTCTTCCAACGGAGGCCTCTGCAGCTGTCTTAGAATTAACTTGAAATCCAGCCATTGCCTAGCCTGCTGACTCCTGCAGTGGACAACTGGTCATACTCTTCTGTTCTCCACGGAGAAGCCATGCTCCAAATACCATGCTCCTGTTCCTGAAATGCACAGCCCACTCGGAGTCAAATGGGGAGATCTAGCGCTGTGCAATGCTACAAACCTGTAATCCAAGAATCGAGGAGCAGATTCAGGGGGACAGCCACGTTAATGGGCTGCGGGGCTGTACACTGGGATCCAGGCAACCTTGGAGCACACTGAGACCTTAATAAAGAAAAATCTCTTCAATAATAAGTCTCCGGCTCTGGCTGACACCCCAAGAGGATGGGTCCAGGAAAAGATCTGCTAACTCACATACACCACAGGCTTGTGTACCTCACATGTGCTGTCAACCTGGAGAAATGTGGATGACTGCCCCGCTAGCATGGCCTGCTCAGTTTGCTTCCTCGTGCAACTTGGGAGCATCTGCCCAGGGTGGCCCCACCCACAGTGGGATGGGCCCTACTGCAACAACTACTAATCAAAAAACACCCTATATATAGCTTTGCCTACAGGCCAGTCTGACTCTAGCTGACCAAATCTGACCAGCAAACCTACTGCGTCATCTCCCAAGCCCCAAACCTCAACTCTCCTGACACTGGCTTTTCAGCTTGTACTTGTGCACAAGCACACAGCAGGTTTTGAACAGGAGAGATGACCCAGCAGTTACCGCCACTTCTTGTTCTTGCAGAAGACCTGGGTTTGGTTCCCAGCACTAGCATAATGGCACACACAATCATCCTTATATCCCACGGCAGGGGCTTTCAGTCTGGCCTTACCGACACACCTGACTGGAGCACGCAGATGTGTTCATGACACAGACTTTACGCCCTGCACAGAACTGCAGACGGATCCTACACCTGAACGTTCAGTGCCAAGTGCAAAACTTCTAGAAGACGCTAGGGGACCAGGGCTCTGCGAGTTAGCGAATCTGCCTCTCCAGGCAACAACGAAAGTGGCGCGTGCACACGCCTTGCATGCTGAAGTCACAATAAGGAATTATTGGCACATCTCCGTGTTCTGCGCAGCCGCAGACGGCAGATACTCGGAGTCCACAGGACCCCGGAGCTGCGGGCACAGCGGGGACCTCAGGGACCTCAGGTGACCACACGCGGTTCCCACAGACCCGGGAGGACCCCACACCGGCTCCCGCGGCTCCTCCCGCGTGGTGACGGCGCCCCTCGCTCACCATGGCGGGTTCCGAGCTCGCCCCGCTCTCCCCACAGCTCCCGACCGCGGGTCACAGCGCAGAACACGGAACACAAGACTCTGCCTCACTTCAGCTGCTCCATTGCGCGCCGCATGGCGGACCGGAAGTGCCCACCCCATTTTCGATTTTGACTGGCAGTTAGCCTGGGAGCCCTGATTAGCTAGTGTGATCTGAGCGGCAGGAAGAGCTGGTGGGGGGGGGGGGCGGGGGGGGAGGGGGACAGAGAAACAGAAAGGGAGGGGGAGGAGGGGAAGAGATTGAGGAGGGGGAGGGTGGAGGGAGGGAGAGGAAAGAGAGAGAGAGAGAGACAGAGACAGAGAAGACTGAGGTGCGTTTTTAAGGTACTGAAGCAGTTTTATGAGAATGTATATGAACTCAGTAGGGCCAGAGTTAAGTGTCTGGTCTGGCAAGTCCAGCCCTATCCCTTGTAAGGCCATGGCAGCCTGCTGAGTAAGGTGCAGGACTCCCACCATCCTTGCTAGACAGAGAAGTGTGGTACCTTGAACCTCTGAAGGACCAGCCACCTGCCCTCAATTCTGATCACCTTCTGGGGATGAGGACCCATTTTGGGGGCATTAGTGAGGTTTTGCTATGAAAATGAGAAAGGACAAAGGAAACCTGCCTGTTTCTGGGCTAGCCTTACTTCAGGCCAGCTGTGGAAACATGCTATTATTTTCATTTTTGTAAATACAAATCTCTTCCCCTCCTCCCCCTCCCTTTCTCTCCCTTTCTCTCTCTCTCTCTCTCTCTCTCTCTCTCTCTCCCCCCCCCCCCTTCTCCTGCCTCCCTCCCTCTCTTTCCCCTCCTCCCCCTCCCTTTCTGTTTCTCTGTTCCCTCCCTCCCTTCCGCCCCCCCTCCCCCCTGCCAGCTCTTCCTGCCGCTCAGATCACACTAGCTAATCAGGGCTCCCAGGTGGACTGCCAGTCAAAATCGAAAATGGGATGGGCACTTCCGGTCCACCATGCGGCTCGCAATGGAGCAGCTGATGTGAGGCAGAGTCTTGTGTTCCGTGTTCTGCGCTGTGACCCGCGGTCGGGAGCTGTGGGGAGAGCGGGGTGATTTAAAAATGCACCAGAAATATGCAGTCTCTTAAACTATTATTTTGTAGAAAAGACAAATCAATGTAAAAACAGGATTTTAGTCAACTGCACCCTATGGGGTCAAAGTTAGTTTTTTACTTAATAACACCATACTCAATATAGAATCTTATAATAGTCTGATGACCAAATTATACATATTTTGCTTCCTGCTTTACATGTGAGTCTACAGGTTTATATTTCTTTCAATTCTGCATTTCTAGTGAAAATTAAGTAAGACACATTTGAAAAAGAATTTTTACATTATGTTCCTAGAGTTTCATTTTCTTTGTAGGGTCTCACTCTGCAGCCTTGGCTGTACAGGACCTCACTCTGCAGACCAGGCTAGCCCTAAAATCATAAAGATCAGTTTCCCTCTGCTGCAGAGAGCTCAGATTGCCCTAAATCATAAAGATCAGTTTCCCTCTGCTGCAGAGAGATCAGATTAAAGGTCTGCACCACCATGCCCGACTTCTATTCATTGTGCACTTGTATTAGTGAAATAAACAGAAGCCTGGTGTGTTGCACAACTGAACTCTGGACTGAACATTGTATCAGGGAGAGCACTCTGAGAGTTAGGCAAGCCTGGGTTATAAGTGAGACCCTTTCTCAAAAGACCAAAGGTAAACACGAGCAGCCGCTGCCACCCCAGCATTTTGAGCCTGGAGTCCTGGAGTCTCCACGTGGGACTATGGAACCTTTTCCCCCAAGTCTACAATCACTTTTGATCTCTCTGTGGGGAACCCGTGATGGTGCTGAAGCAGCGGCTAACAGCAGTGACAATGGCAGGAAGAGCCCGTGTCCAGCTGCTTTACTGCTGTGCTCCACTGCTGTGGGGAGGAATTCCATCCCGTGTCCTGCTTGCAGGCCTTCCACTGAGGAGTCCTTAAAGCCATGCTAATGCGTGACTGCCGTGTTCAGTCTGGCACACTACACGATTCCTGGCTCAGGTGGGGGAGCCCATGTGTGAATGTTTCCACCTGGAGTAATTTCTGACTTAAAGAAGTCACTTAAGTTCAAGTTTTCCTGCTGCTTTTTCCAGTAACCTTAAGGGCTGTGAGTAATGTCCGCGTTTGTCCTTAGAAAGAGTATTTTTGCCCAGATGAAGCAGCACGTTTTTCTATTACGCCAGCCAGAGGTACTCCTCGCTGGAGATTAGAAGTTGTTTAGCTGAATAGATAACTCACCTGCTTGAGCTGCCTCCCAAGGACAGTGCAGGGAGGTGGTCAGCTGACTGGACTGCCCTTTCTTCTGCCTTCTGACTGTATTTAGTATGGATGCTGGTTGAGAAACAAACTCGGGGCTGATTGGTATTTACCTTTGGTCCTCTACCTAGGATAGACCTATGTTTCTGTCTTCATTTCTCTTAATCTGCCATTTCCTATGACCTTGTGCCCCCTCCCAGGTATCCCTTGCTGATTCCTGTCTGAGTGGGCTCTGACACCCGGGTAATCTAGTTTTCCAAGGGAATCTCATTTGCACCTGAACTTGGAAAATGGCAGGTGCAGTCACATGCTAGTGCTGATTACAGAAGTGCTTGAACAGTCATTGACAGCCCCTGGATGGGTTAGAAGTGCAGGTGGTATATTGTCACAGCATGTGAACAATTCTTTAAAAGATTGGTATGCAGAAGGTGATAGGTGACTGAAGATGGCTTCCCCTTCCCAGATGACCCTGATGGGGCCAAAAATCTTCACTTTCAACTCTGAGCAGCTGGCAGCTTTAAAGCATAATCTTATTCTTGACAGAGGTTTCTGTTCTGCCCAACCCTACAGCCATTTGTCCCCAAAGAAACACACAGAATTCTACTTTAATTATAAACTGGTTGGTCTATTAGCTCAGGCTTCTTATTAACTCTTACAGCGTACATTCACCCATATTTCTTGTCTGCCTTAGCCACGTGGCTTGGCACCTTTTATCAGTGAGACATTCTTGTTTCCTCTGTGTCTGGGTGAGGCCTGCAGACTCTTTCCTTTTCCCAGAATTCTCCTGTTCTCATCGCCCTGCCTCTGCTTCCAGCATTTTATTAAAACAATATAACTGACAAATGCTTACAGGGTACAAGAACATTGTCCCACAGCACTTCCCCCTGGTTTTTTTTTTTTTCAAAACAAGACCTCTGTGTGTTTCTTTGGAGATGAATGGCTGCGGGATTGGGTAGGACAGAAACCTCTGTCTACAACTGGCACCAACGTGAACAACTGCATCCACATAAAACCCAAGAAACTGGGGAAATAATTCTAGATACAAAAGAACAGAGTTAAACATGGCTTCTTGGTAGCAGCATTTTCTCAGGTGGGCTCTATTTGCTACAGGCAAGTGTGTCTCACTTAAGAGAGCCTAACACAGATAAGAATTATGGGCTAATGTAAGATGTAAGAGTTAATAAGAAGCCTGAGCTAATAGGACAACCAGTTTATAATTAATATAGACCTCTGTGTGTTTCTTTGGGACTGAACGGCTGCGGGACCAGGCAGGAGAGAAACATCTGTCAACAGTTTATGTTTGTTTACATCATCTTACTTGTGAACACGAAGACAGCCATGATGACCAAGACCAGGAATTCTATAGTGACTCTTGTCCTTTTTAAGGGTGCATTGAGTAGGTGTGCTTTGGCTGCCATGTTTTCAACATTAGAAAAGTAAAGTTTAATGGGTGATGGTGGCGTACGCCTTTAATCCCAGCACTCGGGAGGCAGAGGCAGAGGCAGAGGCAGAGGCAGAGGCAGAGGCAGAGGCAGAGGCAGAGGCAGAGGCAGAGGCAGACGGATCTCTGTGAGATGCTGCTCTTGCAGAGGACCCATCCTGGCTCCCATCATACTGTTTGTTTGGCTCACATGCCTATAACTCCAACAAACCTGAGCCTTTCTGGTTGCAGAGATGGAAGATAGTGTATACATTCATGCAGGAATGTACAAACAAACATAAAATGAGAAAATAAAGCTCAATAAAGAAATTGAAGAGCCGGGCGGTGGTGGCGCACGCCTTTAATCCCAGCACTCGGGAGGCAGAGGCAGGCGGATCTCTGTGAGTTTGAGACCAGCCTGGTCTACAAGAGCTAGTTCCAGGACAGGCTCCAAAACCACAGAGAAACCCTGTCTCGAAAAACCAAAAAAAAAAAAAAAAAAAAAAGAAATTGAAGAAAACCTATGAAGGACTGTTGAGACAATATTAAAAAGAAGCATGTTGTGAATGAGATACATTTACTTGAGGTCTAGAAGACATTGTGTTCTATTTACCTATCAATCAGCTGGTGATATTTAGTGTAGATGCTACATAAAGTTTATAAATATGGCCTGGTATGGTGACTTATGATTTTATCTCAGCCCTTATGGGGCAGAGGCAAATGAATCAGTGACTATGAGTGCAGAGAGGACCGCACAGTGAGACCTGTTCTTAAAAATAAAAATAAATATGTAAGGAATGTAGGTGACAAATAGGAATTCCTTGTCATAGGGAATTTACTCTTTTGAATGTAGTTCTTAAACATCACCTGTATATCATGTGAATTTATTTTTCTCGTATAAATGATCCTCATAATTATTTGAATGCTTTTATGATGATAAAAGAATCAACTTTTAAACATCTGCAAAGATAAACTTGTTGATTTAAAACTGCAGAGGTTTGATCCTTGTCATTTTGGCTGGATGGTGGCTCAGCTGTAAGGAGCACACACTGCTGTTACAGAGAACACAAGCTGCACTCAGCGCCTGTGTCGGGCAGACATGGAGAGACTTGAATCAAAAAAAAAAATAAGGTAAGCATACCTATTAATTCAAGATTTTTTTTTTTGACACAGGGTCTTTTTTCCGCGTGTAGCCTTGGCTGATGTTGCACCTGCTTTGTAGATCAGGCTGGCCTTGAACTAACAGATATCAAACTCCTTTACGTATTAAATGCTGGAATTAAAGGCTTGAGCCACTACCACTCAGGTTCTTGAAGGGTTTTTGGTGTTATTGTTTCTTTTTTTGAGAAAAGCTTTCACTGTGGATACCCAGGCGGCCTGGAACTCACTATGTGGGTCAGGTTGGCCTCA